AATATAGATCCAAGGATACATTTTAATTTTCTAAACGGATGTTTAATGTAACAGGTTATAATTTAATTGAATTTAATAAATATAATAAACATAATACAAGATATATACTCTGTTTATATATAAACTGATACTCTATTTTTTACTTCTGAATTACTAGTTTACTGCATGGACCAAGGTTGTTTATTATAACTCGTACTATTAACTTAAATTTTAGCTTAGAAATATAGGTTTCAGACAAGAACGGATTTGGATCATTCTTGGGAAATATGTTTATTATAACTGAAGAAACCATATTGACAAGATTGTCATTTAAAATTCATGTCAGTTACGGGCATTTTTTGTAATAAAGATGACTATAAGCTCTATATTTTAATATAGTTCTATTGATTTACAATCACAATATTAATTTTTTGTAATAAAAAAATTTTAAACGAAATAATGTGGATATATTTTCACTACTACTAGTTCAAACAGGAAGTCGTTTATAATATAATAGAATCCTGTATAGATTTTGACCAAATTTTTGTCAGGTACATTTATTTTAATCCAGTTCCTAAAATACGCATAGTTTCCTTTCAAATTTTAAGTCAAAAGAATTGTTTTATATAATAGCAAAAAGAGTAAATTGTAAATTCAAAAAAAAAATTATATAAAATTAAAAAATTGTTTATAATTTTTTTTTAAATAAAATTAAAAATTTTAACACTTACACTGAACAACAACAATTCAATAGCAGAACAACAAAATATGTTAACAAAAAACTTTGATTTATTTTTGAGCACTTTAATTGCATTTTGAAATTCAATTAATTTTTTTCTTCTTTTGTATTATTATAAAATTAAAATATTTTTATTAAATTACAAGTTCGATAAATAATAATATATTTAACGAATTTTGTAATAGGAATTTAAATCAAATTTTAATTATTAATAAATATAAATTATTAATTTTAAACTTTTCTTAAAACGACACTGGAATCCTTTTTACATATAACAAATAAATTTTTTAAACAAAACTTTTTTTGTACCTAAAACAACGCGCCAACGATTTTAAAACGTTTTGCGCGCTCAGCCTCAACTTTGTGTTTAAAACAATTTTGCGTGCTTATTTCGAAATAATTTAGAATAAACGAAATCAACAGCTTTTATATCCTCCGTTTTGTTTTTTAAAAGAACTTCATGTCTTTGTTGTAGTGTTCAACAACGTCACAGAGTCGCTCTTAGAACACAACAGGTGTTGCAACACTCATTCCAAAAATATCGGCTAAAAATACTTCACCTTAAAAAGCTGCTTTTTAAGAGAATTTCGTTTCTTCAATATTTGTTCACAAGCAAAACATTTTATTTTTATTACTGCTACGTTGCAAGACTGGCTTGAATGTTACCCTTCTCGAGTTCAGGTCAATATCTTCGCTCTCAACTAATAGCCAATATTTTAAAATCTAATACACATACTCTCTCGCTCTTTCTCTTAAAAAAGCGCATTAGCACAAATGATTTTAAAGTTTGCTAACAACTTTGTCAACATCTTTTAAAAATAGCAACAATATTCCGAATAAAATCAATTACAATAACAACACTAAGTAAATCAACAAAAAATAATAACAGTAATGCAGTTGTTGCTAATTTTAAGAATGTGATGACACGATAAACAATTAAATAAACTTAAAACTGATAAAGTCAACTTTGTATCAATATTATTCAAACGGTACATTTTATATTGAGCTACCTTGCAGGTGTGTATATTAAATTCAGAAAGAAATTAAATTCAATTATTATTATAATTGAACTAAAAACAAAATTGATAAATCTTTAACATACATAACAACAATAAAAAACTAGCAAATATGCTAAATTTCTGACACTAATTGTATATCAATTAGCCGCATTTCCCAAAAAAAAATTTTTTTTTAAGATAATAAATCAAATTGGTATATTATTTACTGTTAGACTTTAATTAAAAGAATGATGTCTCGATATATTCTAATATATATTCTTCTTTAATTGTTTATTTAAAAATTAAATATTATACAATCATATAAATTACAATATGTTAGAAATAATGCTTTTGAAGTTCTCTCTGTCTCTAGCAGTATGTATCAAGTCTCCAATTGTTCTTAACGCAGTCCAGTGTCGGATGTTCCTCAACCAAGACATTTGTTTCCTTACTATGCCGCGTATGCCTTCGATTCTGCCTTCCACAATCGGTTGCAGCAATTCAGGCGGAACGATTATTTCATTGTCAATGATTGTAAATTTAAGGTTATCTTTGCTTTTAGTTATATGTTATCACTACTAACGCCATTTAGCAGGTTCGAGAAGTGATCACTCCATATGTTACGCGTGGTTTGGACATCTAACACCAGATTAAAATCTTGATCTTTACAGGAATTAACTCCAGTTTTATAAACACTTGTCAGGCATTTGATTTTTTAATAGAATTTTCGAACCATATTCCAGCTCAAGCTCTTCGTACTCACGTTTTTCTGCTTACTTCTTTTTTCATCTGAAAAGATGTTTCTCAACCCTTTTTTTTTTGCAGATATCGTTCTCTACCAGCACGACCAAGAGTGTCGTGATGCTACCTTCCGTCTATCACAACGTGATCAATTTAAATCCTATGTTTTGATCAGGTGATAGCCATGTTATATGATTTTAGCAAGCCTTTCGTTTATTGGTGTGAAGGTTAAGACCAAATTTCTTAACCTTCGGCTTGGCAGCTGTAGTAGATATCACAACGATCTCTTCTAGAGCATACTTGTCCCGTCTATCGCATTTTCTGGATGATGATAATGTCTGTCTTGTATTTCTTGAAGACATTAACTAACTGTATTCATGTACCTTCTCTATAAAGAGTTCGGACATTCCAAGTTCATATTCCTAAATCATGTTCCTTATAACGTTTGCGTATTTTGTCAACAGTTAATGGTTTTCTTATTCGAGGCTGACTCTTTATTGTCTTTGGAGTTATAGTTTTCCATAGTGGATTTCAAACCCACGCACGGATAATTGCGGCTATCCAGAGGGGCAGCGTAGAAGCTGTGTGTCATCCTGGATAGAACAGTGACAAGAATCGAACTGGCATTTACCATTTTCAAAATTATTAAAATAAGTACATAAAAACTGTTAATAATAATACTCATAATAATAAATACTCGTCCAATACTCGTATTAATAAAATACGAGTATTGGAAAATTTGTAATGTCCGTTACGTTAAAGATGAGACTGTTTTAACATGATTAAATTTGATATGCATATTTTTTTTAATTAATTGCTTAATTTATTGTAATAAACAAATTTCAAATTTGAAGACCTCAATTAATATCACTAAATTCAAAGATATATATTCTAAGCTATTTCTTACAATATAAAAAAATCTTTAGAAAAATTAAGTATTGAGAACGGAAATAATTAACATCACGTTGGACAAACGATTCACATGGCTTAAACATGTTCAACTGAAAAGAATTAGCTGTGCCAAAATTCTTCATCACCCCCAATCGCTATTCAGAAATGAAAATCTCAATGGTAAGAACAGGAAGCTGATATATAACCAAATAATTCGTCCGTCACTTCTTTATGGATGTGTAGCGTTTACCAAAGCTCGGTAGAAGAAAAATACTGATATCATTAAAAGGTGCATAAAAGGTGAAAAGGTAAACAATATATGCTTAATTTTATAGTATATCAATATATTCACATTTTCCCAGTATTAAAAATGAAATTAGAAATAATAGTTCAATTTTTACAAATTTTAATTAATTAGTTTGTATTTTAATTTTTATGTATTTTATTTTATATAAAAGAGTTTATACACGAAAAACACAAACAAAATCTTAGCTGACAATCGGGAGATCTAATCAATAGCAGATTTTTCAGTTGGTCTTTAGAAAACCGAAAAGAGCTTTCAGCAAAAGACCGCTGCCAGAATACAAAAGATCTTTTAAGCGATCTTTCGCAAGATTTCTGAGTGTGATGAGCTGAAAGATTGTTGCCAGAATTACCTTGTTAATGTATAGTAAATAAATTGACAAAATTTTTGTATGTTTTTTGTGGTAAAACAAAAATCAGTTTATGTGCAAAAGGCCGCTCAAGTATTATGTAATGTAAATATTTTTTATTTTAATTATGAGAGGAAGTATAAGTTATGGATGAACTTTTACGCATAACTAATTTTTGTTTTGCTAAAATAATATTTCATAATTTATATTAATTAATTTTTTACTATATATTAATTGCCATTAAAATATTTTAAAAATATTAATCAAAAAAATAAAAAATAAAATCTTTCTGTTATAGCTCAATGAAAAGCGTACTTAGCGCCAACGTTAACTATGTCTTAAAAAATATATATATTGATATGATTTTTAACGTTAGATGGCGTTAATTGATATTTGACATTTCCATATGATAGGTAATAAGGCTCTTGTTTTGATTGTTTATCAACAGCACGTGTATAACTTGAGAGCGGTGCAGATTTTTACTAATATTTAAGGAAATGGAATTGTTTACTGTACAAAGGTATTTAAACACAAATAATTATAAATATTTATTATAACTTACCAATTAAAATAGATATACAGATGATAAATTAGGAGAAAACAGTAATAAAGCTGAGGATGAGATTTTACAAAAACTACTACAAAAAGTAGAAAAGCGAAAAAGAAAACATAAAGCAGCTAAGGTTGTGTCGGAAACAGTTCAACCACAAATTACAGAAAAAAAGAGCAAATTAATTCAAGATGATAACACAAATCATGAGGAATTAGAACGAAATGAATTTGCGTCATCAACGGTAAGCAGCACAAAAGATATACAAGCTAATAATAATGATGTTGATCCAACCCATGTTGAGGAAAGTGAACATCTAAAAATATTAGGTGAAGATGTCGATTTCAGTAAACGTCAGAAAGTGGATATGGTACTGCCACCATGGTTAGCACATCCTACTATCATATCAACAAGTATTTCAAAAAAAATAAACGACACAAGTGCTACGAGTGATGTGGTAGCGGAATTAAGTTATTTGTCTACACATATACGACAATCCCTTAAGGAAATGAACATAACAAATACATTTCCAGTACAATCAGCAGTTATACCATGGCTACTCGAAGCACATGCCAAACCATGGCCGTTTCGTCCGCGTGATATTTGCGTCTCGTCACCTACCGGCAGTGGAAAAACGTTAGCATTTGCTGTGCCAATTGTGCAACTGTTAGCCAACCGTGCACGTCGTAAGATTCGTGCATTAGTTGTTTTGCCTGTTACTGAATTAGCACTTCAAGTGTATAAAGTTTTTAAAAAACTGTGTGATAAAACCGACTTGACCGTTTCCTTATTGTCTAAGCAAGTTGCATTTTCTACAGAACAAGAACAACTTGTTGAGTTATATAAAGGCGAATATCATTCAAAAGTAGACATTATTATCACTACGCCTGGTAAATTTCGTTTATATATAAAATAAATTTAATAAAATATTGAATAATGAATTTCTTATAGGTCGCTTGGTCGATCATATACATGGAACAAAAGGCTTTTGTCTAAAATCCCTGAGATTTCTTGTTATAGATGAGGCTGATCGTATTATGGATGCTGTTTTCCAAAATTGGCTCTATCATCTTGATAATCACGTACGTGAGACATCCGATCAGTTACTTTCAGGACGTGTTGCACCACTTTGCTACAATGAACTCGAACAAATTGCTCTGACGCAACCACAAAAACTGCTTTTTTCAGCTACACTTTCACAAGATCCCGAAAAATTACAAAACCTGCGCCTGTTTCAACCAAAGCTGTTCACGTCTGTTTTAACCAATTTGGAAGAGTTGCGTGAGAAGTTTGCCAGCAATTTGCAAGAGCAAAAAGGCACGGAAGTACGTGGTGAATTTATTGGAAAATACACTACACCGGCAGAGTTATCGGAGAAATACTGCATAACTGAGGGTCGTCTTAAGCCTTTAACATTATATTCACTTATAAAAGAAAATAATTGGACAAAGTTCTTGTGCTTTACCAATAGTGCTGCATCTTCCACAAGGTAATATGCAAATATTTTCATTTAGTTTTAAATCTACACAAAACGAAACAATAATATATATACATTGAAGTATTTATTATACTTAAAATTAATTATTATGTACAATATATTTTACATAAACAGGTTGGCTATTGTACTTGAAAAACTCTGTGGTACTGAGCTAATAATTAGTGATCTGTCTGCTGCCATTAATGCTAGTGAACGATCAAAAATTTTGAATAAATTCTCCAAAAATAAAATAAATGGGTAAATACATATATCTTTCAAAAAAGTTTTAAATTTTGTTAGTTTTAAAATATTAATTATCCCTTTTATTTAAGGCTTGTCTGTTCGGATGCTTTAGCTCGTGGTATCGATATACCTGACGTGGATATAGTAATATCTTACGACCCACCACGACATATTAAAACATATATACATCGTATTGGACGTACAGCGCGCGCTGGAACACCTGGTACAGCTATAACCTTACTTACCCAAAAGGAACTTGATATTTTCAACGTAAGTTGTATATATAATATTATTATTTTAAAAGAAAAAATACTTACAATTTTAAATATAGAAAACACTTATTGAGGTTGGTAAAACATTAACAGAAGAGATTGTAGTGACTTCGAATATTGAAGAGGAAAATGCTAAAAACTATCAAGCGGCTTTGGAAGTGTTGCGACACAAACTTGAACTTGAGAAACACAACAAAATGTTGATGAAACAACGTGCCAAGGATAGAGCAGTAATGCATAAAGAACCTGCAAAGATGACAATAATGGAGAAATTGCAAATGAAAGCAACCGAAGACATACAGGGCAAAGTTAAAGAAAAGCCATTACCGAGAAGAAAATTTACAAAAAAGGATAAAAGAAATAAATAAACATTTTGTTAAGAAACTTATTCAATATTTTACACACAATAATTTTATTAAGTAAAATACATTAAGATCTATAATCAATGATTGCAACTTATTTTAAAAAATGAAAACGTATGTAATACTTGTAGAGAATTTTTAAAAATCTTAAGAAGACTTAAGCTATTAAAGACCTTCCTGTAAGACGAGTTAGATAAAGAACTTAAAAAATGTTTGGTCATAAAAAAACTAAAGATTGAACTGACGTTGTATCGTTGACTGTATACATGTCTACAATTGAATTCTTATTGCAACACATATTACATTATTAATGAACTGTTAGTTTTTATTTCACTCTTAATAATTATATAGAATATTAGAATGTATTTATATTCTAAAATATTTGCCACTAAAATCAAATTCTCGGTCTTTAACTTTTCTTTACTAAACGGAGAGCACTTAATATTATTAGACAAATAGAAGTTTTAGTAGATAATGAAATAAATTGAAGCTTCAATGTTAATTTAATAATCAAGAACTTCTGTACAGCTTTTTATTATTTCAAAAAATAATTAACGAGTTTTTAATTAATGTATCACAAATTTCAGAAACGACTTAAAACTGGACAGAGGAAGACATGTAGTATATATACATAAGAATATATAAGAAATAAAGTGCCTTCTATATGTATAAGAAATAAAGTGCCTTACATTAAGACTGAAAAGTTTTCGGAAATTCTCATTTAAAATTCGCGCGCTGTATATTTTTCGATATTTTAAGTTTATGTAGTTTGGCAGCACTGTCCTTAATTACTATGCCAAAAATGAGCTCGATCTGTCAGACAGTTCGTTTACGGCAGCTGTTGAAACCAGTTCACCTCAGTAGTGCGTTGCGAAATGTCTTCGACGGTCGTACGACCGTCCTGGAAGGCTTTGTACCACTCATAAACTTGAGTTTTCGATAAAACTGATTCCCCATAAGCCTTTTGTAGCATTCGCAACGATTCTGCACACGAAATTTCGTTCGAAACACAAAATTTGATGCAAACTCTTTGTTCAATATTTTTTTCCATTGTTTTTTTCGCAACGCCCTACTGAGGTGAACTGGTTTCAACAGCTGCCGTAAACGAACTGTCTGACAGATCGCGCTCATTTTTGGCATAGTAATTAAGGACAGTGCTGCCAAACTACATAAACTTAAAATATCGGAAAATATACAGCGCGCGAATTTTAAATGAGAATTTCCGAAAGCTTTTCGGTCTTAATGTATATATATATAAGAAATATTTCCAAAAAAGACAGGGATGATAAGTATATAATAAACAACTATGAACTGAGCCAAATATTCAATGAATTAGATATAAATACCTATTCGTACTAAAACTCAAGTAAAGTACAAACTGAGAGCGTAACATAAATAAAGTGCCAAATTACGCTCTTTACACAGATTTTCATGGAACAGTTTCGCGTAAGGTCTGGTCAGAACACCAGTGCCATCCAAATAAACAATACAAAAATTTAAATTCAAACCAAAATAGCTGATTTACGCATCACACAAAT